TGCCTTAAACTTTAGAGAATCCCATAAACTGTAACAATAACTCCACATTTGAAAAACCTCCAAAGAAGAAATTAAATATTGTCCGAAATGCTCAGCTTGCTTTCCTATGCACTTTAGCTGAAGGATTAATAATATCTATTTCTCAGATAAAAACATAAATCACTACCTTCTTTAATTTTACCTTTCTTGTTAGTATTTTTTTTGCTTAGAAGTTAATAAAGGGGGCTGGAAAGATGGCTCAGGAGTTAAGAGCACTGGTTGCTTTTGCAGCAGACCCAGGTTCAGTTCCCAGTACTGACATGGTGGCTAACAACTGTCCCTAACTCCAATTACAGGAGATCTGATGTCTTCTTCTGACCTCTGCAGGCATTGTACACACAGGTGCACTTACATACAGGTAGACAATGCACTCATGCACATAAAATAAAAATAATAAAATAGAAGTTAATAAAGTAGCCTTATGTTTAAAATCCCATCTTTATGTCTATAATCTCAGAATTTGAGAGCCTGAAGCAGAATGATTATGAGTCAGTCTAGGCTGGGCTACATAGTGAATTCCTGGTCAGCCTGGCTTACAGATTCTTTCTCAAAAAAAAAAAAAAAAAAAGATTCCGTTCACTCAATATTGCAGATGTTAAAAAAGAAGCAGTGAAGAAATAATAGAAATAATAACTAAAAATCATTTTAAACAAATTACCATAAAGGTTGTGATAGGCTGAACACTGTCCCACACTCAAAGATGTCCATGTCCTAATCTTCAGAATCTGTGACTGTTATATAGCAAAAGAGATAAGCCGATCATCATTAATGATGCTGAGAGTCGGTGGTTGTTATGGATCTTCTGTGTGAGTCCTAAATATGACTTCAAGGATCCTTGTGAGGCAGAGGAAAGAAGGTCAAAGGAGGATGAAGGCAATGAAGTAGGAGCAGAATGTGACATGTGGTGTGGAACCAGGAGCTAAAAGATAAGGGTACACTGGGAAAAGGCAAGACAGATTCTCCTAGAAGGCCTAACTACCACTGGCAGGTGTTTTCCCTTCCCTCCCCTCCCCTCCCCTCTCTTCCCTTCCCTTCCATTCCCTTCTTCCCTTCCCTTCCCTTCCCTTCTTCCCATCCTTTCTTTTCCTTTCCTTTTCTTTTCCTGTCTTTTCTTTTCTTCAGAGATTTCAAACCTGCAAACCTGACATCAGATGTCTCACCTCCAGAACTGTATGAGAATAAGTTTTATCTTTCTGAACAAGTTTTTTTTTCCCTAGCACTGTATGGCAATTCCCACTGCTACATGTCATCCACAATATTTTCCCCATTATACTGTTATGATTGCTAATCTGGTATAGGTAGTATTATCATCACAATTTTAATTTGCGTTTGTCCAATCAATAATGTTATTGAAGACCTCTCCATGTATCAACTAGTCATTTGGATTCACTGTCATTGTGAAGTGCCTTCTTAAATTTTTCATCTCACTTTTAATTGATTCAATTTGTCTTTTTTTTATTAATTTTGAATAGTTCTTAAATAACCAACCCATTGTCAGTTGTATATTAGAAAAACCTCTTCTGCTAGTGAAAAAATTCAAGGAATATTTTTAAAATTGTATTATTAACTATTTGAATATCTTTTAGGATTGATGTATAAAAATCACAGTCACTGTCCCCATCACATGAACGATAGCATTAACTAGAAAAATTCAAACAAGTTTGCAAGTTCTCTATTCTTTTTTTCACGGGGAAGTAGTTTGCTTCTTTAATTGTTACTATTTTTACTTATTTGAATTACATACAAGATATTTTTTTCAAACAAGTTCCTGATATAGTCAAAAATTTAGGGTAATTCATGATTAATTATTCTACCTCTCATTATGAGGTAAGATTTCTAGCATTGCATGAAATTTTAAAGAATATAGTGTATAAAACTAATTTTCACAAAATTTATAAACCTAATCTTTGAAACTTTTAAAGTCTAGTTTCTCAAAAAATAGAGCACAGTCTGCATTGGAACAGCCCACTTATTTTCCCACTATACAGGGCCATATCCGTTTCTAGGAATGTAGAATTTTTGTTTTCTGATGAAATGTACAGTTACACATGTCCTGGTTTTAATCTCAGGTCCACCAGTTTGGATGATTTTGAGCACTATCTTCTATTAACCAGGTTTGGTGCGATTATAAAAAGGAGTATCACTGTCTTCACTTCAGATGTTTGCTACAAGATTAAATTATATAATTCCTTTGTATTTAGCACATCCATGGAATATAATCATTTATCACAAAACTTATACCATTGTTAAATTGGATTCCCATAAGGACTTCAGAATTCAGCTTCTTAAAACACCTTCTGATGTCCACTTTTCTCATTGGGGAAATTTCTCAAAAAGATTTTAGCATGATATAGTGACTTCTCTAATAATATAATATATATTAGAACTTTTGAAAACGCTTAAGTATATATTAAAATCACTTTCGCCTCTCTAACATTCCAAGGGATGGTTTTATCCAACTGAGAAACTTTTAAAACAGTACTGGAATATAGACAGAGAAGGCACATGCAACAGTGCATACTATTACTGGCACTGAAGTAAATAACAGAAACTCTTACAAGCAAACTCCAGTTTTGGAATCTTGCCAAGGTGTGCATAGAACGATAGCTTGGATCCATTAAGACAGAACATGTGACTGAACAGAGTTCAGTGTCTGTTAGAATTTGATAAATGTTGATTAATCTAGTCATCCATGAATAAGAATTAAACTATGATCTTAAAAGCAAAACTAGAAAATAGCAAAATAGAGCATAGATTATTGGGGTGAAATCTCAATCACTGATCTCGACTTTTCATTTAGAATGAGCTGTATCTTTTAAGAAATAAGAAAATGCTTAAGATTAATTTTATAAATGGAACAAAGAAGATATGAAATTGTGGTGGCAATCTATTTCAGCAAAACAGAAAAAAATGCATTAAACAGGAAAAATAAACCAAAATAATGTTATAATAAGATTATATAATATGTTTTCTTATAAACATATTTCTTGAAAATGTTTTGAAATGAAAGTATAATTAAATTAAAAGTGAGATATTTAGCACAGGCTACTGTGCACTTAATAAGTGTAGCATATTGAACTATTATTTCTTTTTTTTTTTTAATCTCCAAGGATCCTTTATCCCACACTGATTTCCTACCCTCTGAACATGAGCGGAATGAATGCTCCACTAGGCCACAAGGTGACTTTCTCTTACAGAGGAGAAAAGGGCTTTTATGTCGCCACCCCCTGCCCATCAGAAATCATTCTGGCAAAGAAAAAATACAGAAATCAATTAAGTCATTTAAATATGAAAAACCCATAGGAAATTGTGTAGGGAGACAAAAAGAACTGGAGTTTCTTGGGAAGAGTCTCCCTTGGCCCCCTGCCCATTAATGGGCTAAGGTCTGGGATAAGAGGCTCACACAGTGAGTTTGCAGTGACACAACTCCTTGTAGAAATACTATTTCTTAATTCATTACTTTGCATAAAGTTTGGTCTTCTTTCTGCTAATAATATCTAAAATATTGCTTTCTGTTTGAATGAAAACTGGCTTGATGCTTCCCTCCAGAGGCTGACATGCAATTGGAATAAAATCCATGAACCCTTACTATACCAGAGCAAGAGCGCTTCAAAAAAGTATTACAACTGCCCAGTTGAGGTTCCTAGCTCAGTCTGGATGTTCCAAATGCCATCTTGACAAGAGGTGATGTCAAGTATAGGATAAAGGGAGTGAAGAACTTGCTAAGAAAAGAGATTTCAGGAAATGAAACAGTAAAAACAAGATTTTAAAGAGGAAAAATCAAGATAGTAAATGAAAAAAAAATTTGCTATGTGATTTCAACATAAATTAAAAGAATATGGAAAAGAGGAGATTGAAAAGGGAGGCAGGGTCTGGGCAGGAATACTCGGTAGATCAATGTAAAAGAGCTGGGACTTCGATTCATGATGATAAGGAAAATGGAAAGATTTCGGGGAGGGGGCACTTAAGTGCTAGTGCCAAATTTATGCAGTGTAGAAGATCACTATGAGTAATGTGTGGAGAATGGATTTGAGGAAAACAAGACAAGAGACAGAGATATTAGTCAGAAGATTGTAGATTCTTCAGTTAGAGGCATGAACTGTATCACTAGGGTAGGGGTAGTAGAATTTGTGAAGAGGATGGGTATTGAGAAAAATAGTATAATTTTACTAATTCTTTGAGAATTTTTTTTCTATAATCTCCTTTAATAGCAGGGTCCTAAGGAACATAGACTTCCCACTAGATACCACCTTAGAAGAGTTCCAGTACCTCCAATAGCACCACCCACCATCTGTCTTTAAGATATATCAGTTGGAGGAACATTCATCCAAACCATAGCATCTGGTGCCTGCCTCATTCTCTGATCTTTACCTTCCTTTAAAAAAAAAATAAATTACTGAGAATTTTATGCATGCATATAAGGTGTTTTGATCAAATCCATGCCCACTCCCCCCCCCAATGACTCCCATATCTCCCCATCACTTTTTTTTCTGATAACTTCATGTACTCTTTCTTCTTCTTTGAATAATTAATTTTTTGGGCCTTTTGGCTACTCTGACATTACCCCCCTCTGAAGAAGTAACCCTTAAATCTTTTTAGGATTAGATATGGGCAGTCAGTGCTTCTAGCCACTGAGCCGTCTCTGCAGCCTGTTCCAGTAATTCTTAATAGTCTAATGTAATCTTCAGGTCAGAAGTTTGAGAGCTACTAGTCTACTGATAACACACATCAACTTTTTTTAAATAAATAATTTGTTGAGAATGTCATACATGCATATAAGGTATTTGGATCAAATCCATGCCCACTCCCTCCCCTCCAGCTCCTCCCATATCTCCCCATCACTGTTTTTCTGATAACGTCATGTACTCTTTCTTATTTAGAGAGATTTCAATGATAATGTTTTTATAGGGCTTTTGGCTACTCTAACATTCCCTCCTCTGAAGAGGTAACCCTAAAATCTTTTAAGGATTAGATAAAAGCTGCAAAATATTTTCAACATTTTTGGCCTTTGGAATGGAGTATGCTGCTAAGAGGCCCAAAGCCATTGTGAGTTTTAGCCAAGAAATGGGCTACTTTTCTTTGGGGTCCTTTAACCCTAACTGCGAATGTATGTTGTTAAGTGGCCCAAAGACATTTTGACTTCTAGCCAAGAAACTGGCTACTTTTCTTTGGAGTCTTTTTTACCCTAACTGCTCTGGCTTCTTCCATGCATACAATGTAGAGAGGGTGGGTTTTTTCAAAGTTGGACAGTAGCAACATAAAACCCAATGTGTGATAAACCTATGTATATTACATGTCTAAATGTAGGGAACTTTTGATAGACATAAACATCTGCAAAAGGAGTATTCTGCAATTATCCTGTGAAAACTGAATTTTCTATTTTGACTGACTTCAATGGTAAAACTATAAAATATTTTAGATGTTGACAATAATTTTTGTCCTAAGGAAATAAATGTAGCAGGAGTGGGAATGGAAACTGAGGCCATCTAACGAGGATCTTTCATTCATTCTGCCTTTCAGATGACAAATCATTCTATTACCTTGCCTCTTTTAAAGTTACAAACATCAAATACACAGAAAATTATGGAATGAGATCATCACGAGAGTTTATAGAAAGAAGTCATCAGGTTGAGAGAATGGTGAGTTCAGAAGGAAGTTTTTATTTATAACGTGCTCAAAATTAACAAAATTGGCCATTCAAATCTACATTATCTCACTGAGGATTTAAATCACATTTCCTTAATTATTAATGAGGTCCTCCCATGGTTAGCTACTGCATATGTTTCACTTTGCATAATCATTGTAAATTATTTTTGTCTCTTCCTTTTTCATTTTTATCTTTTAAAAATTTATTGGAGAAATTTGTATGAACTTTATGCTATTTATATTTGTTGAAAACACCTTTTTCCACTTGTGACTTGCCATTTTATTATTTTTATATTATATCTGGAGGAACAGATCTTAATTTAAATATTAAAAAATCATTCTTTTCTCATCAGTGACTTTTATGCTTGCATGAGAAATGCTCTAGTTCTGATATAATTGTTTTAAAATTTCTGTTGTTGCCTTTTGCATTTAAGACATGATTATATAGAACATGATTTCATGTATGTTTGATTTAGGGAATTGATTTTATTTTCTCCTGATATAAAAACCAATCTTCTGAGCACTGTTGATTACATATCTAGCCTTTGTAGCTGGTCTGCTAGGCTATCTCCAACACAAATCAAATTCATTTCTTCTGATGTTTAGCTGTTTTTTCATGGATCAGTATCATCCACAGCACCGTGTGATTCAGTAGTGAGTGTTGGTGTCTGTTATATTAATTTGTTAGGGCTGCCATAGGAAATTACTACAAAACAAGGTATATTAAATCAATAGAAAATTTTTTTTATTATTTAGTATTTTTGAGGGAAAAGTGAGCAATCCCAGTGAAGGCTATAGCAGAGAGTTCGTCCTTACCTAATTTAGTTTCTGACCACGCCAGGCATTTCTAGATTAGTTGCAGCATAAAATGGATCCTCTGATCTCTGCCTCCATCTTCACATGCTTCACATGACCTTCTTCTTTATGACTCCATAGTTTTTCACTCTGATAGAGTCCTTTGTTACTGCATTCAATGTCCTCCTAGACAATCTAGGATGATCTCGCTTTAAAGGATCTATAACTTAAGTACATCTGCAAAGATTCTTACCGTAAGGTCTTACAGATTCCTAGATTTAGATATGTATTTTTCAAGAGTCCACTATTCAATCCAGTATAGCTAGATGATAATCTTTCTTCAGGTTTACCTTGGTTATTCTTGGTTTATGCTTTTCTATGTCAAACACATACATATATGCACAGGCACACATATGTATACACACACACACGTATGCATGCACACACAAACCTTCATATTGGGAAAGTGATTTAACTTGCTTCAAATATAGAGGCCTGTATATAAAAGATTGACACATTTAGGACTTCTTTGATGTATTTCAACAAGACTTTAAATTGTTTTGTTTAAAGATCTTACTAAATTTTTTTTATTAAATTTAATCCTAGTTAGTATTTTTAGCATTGTTGACTTTTGTCTTTATTTTGTCTACATATGTTCTTTATATGATTTTCTTCATTTGCAATTCATTAATTTCTGTCTTGGTTTTATTTTTCTCCTCCCATCTACTCTTTTTAGATATTGTTTGTTCTTGGATGTCCAAAGTCTTCAGTTGCATCATTAAGTTAATAGAATATGTCTCTAATTTTCTGATATACACACTCAGTGCTGTATACTTTCCTCTTATGGCAGTCTTCATTGTATTCCACAGATATTTCATTTTCATCCAATTCCAGGTTTTTAAATTTTCTTCTTGATTTGTCCCTTGATCCAACTTTTACTGAGTAATGTGTTCTTTAGTTTCTATGAATTTGTATATTTTTTCCCATTTCTATTTTTGTTGATATCTAGTTTTATGCCTTTGTGGCCAGGCAGAACATAGGATGTTATTTCAACTTTCCTAAATTTGTGGAGACTTAGTGCTTTTTGTGCCTCCTCTATCTTGGTAAGTACCTCTTTCCTTAGATTTGGGGAATTTTCTTCGATGATGTTGTTTAAAGTATTTTCTAAGCCTTTGACCTGTGTTTCTTCTTCCTCTATACCCATGACTCAGAGGTCTGGTCTTGTTATAGTGTCCCAGGGATCCTGCACGTTCCATTCCTGGGTTGTTTTAAATTTGACATTTTTTGTCATCTATTTTGTCAGCTTTGTCTTTGAAATCTGATAGTCTCTGTTCCATTTCACCAATTCTTTTTGATTCTTTCCTCTGAGATTTTTGTTTGATTTCCAAAATTTTTCATTCCAAGTCTCATTCTAGTTTGACTTTTCTTCACAGATTCCTTCTCTTTATTGAATTCTAATTTCATGTCTTGAAATTTTTTTAGATATTTCATTCAATTGTTTGTTTTCAGTTCAGTCTTATTCACATTAATTCTTTTAGTTCTTTAAGCACATTTGTAATTGCTATTTTGAAATCATTGTTTTGCGCACCAGCTAGGTTGCCATTCTCACCCCATAGTGATAGGGGTGCTGATTTCTGCAGGAGACATATTGTCTTTATTCATGTTGTTTGTGCTTTGAGGATGAGATCTAGACACCTGGAGTTGTGGCAGTGGCCGTGTTTTTGGAATGAGTAGGTGATCCTGTCTTTGTTGAACGTTTGCATCTTTGTTTGCTGTTTCTCAGGTTGTGTCTCAACTGAGCGATGCTTAGTGTTCAGTCTTGGTACTACTTTGTGTTGATGTGTGTGGATGGGATGTAAGATGTAGTCTCAGTTCAGTTAGGGATAGGTGCAACTTTTGAATCTGACATTCCAGGCCAGGCTCCATGTGGTCTTGGAGCAGCAGGATGGACTGGGTAGTTGCTAGGAGAGCAGGTTGACAGACAGGTCTGTGTTGATTTTTAGTTGGAAGGACGGGAACAATTCCAATTTAGTGGTAACAAATAAAACATGCTAATATAACTCTTGATTATGTCTGTCTGGGGTGATGTAATGGCTTCTCTTGAATTGACCAAGGTGGGTCATTGAGAAGGCTGTGTCGCCTTAGCTAGGCCTGAGTGGGTGGTGTGGCGGAAGTAGTGGGGACAGGGTTCTCATAGGTCTGAGGGAACTCTGAGGTGTAAGAGCTACAGGAAGCTGCAGGACCTGTGTAGCCTGGGCACCAAGACGGTACACAGGGAAGGCTGAGATTGGTGAACTCACAGGCATGTGAGAACTCCTAGGAGTGTCAGAACTCACAGATATGACAGGTACATAGAGATGCATAACCACAGCAGGCAGCAGAAGGCTGGGGATGGGGAACTCAGAGGTCTGGGGGAACTAAGAAGATGGCAGAACTCACTAGATGTGGCACAAATAAGAGTCTGTGTGACATGAGTAGGCCAGAGAGCTAAGGTCCGTTTTCTTACTAATTTTTAATGCTGTACTGCACAGAAAAGTAACTGACTTTGGTAATCTTTTGTGAGCCTTACTTTTTTTTTAATACTTGGCATTTTCAACTCTTCTCTCAAGTTTCTAGAGCAGATGGATTCCTTCATTCCTTTTCATTCACATGAAAAATAGTGCTGACAAATATTTCTGAATAAGGATCAGACACTTGGCAAGATCTGGAGACTTTTTTATTGTCACTCTTGGAAGAGGGGGAGGGGTATTTATAGCATTGGGCATCTAGAAGCCAGAGGTGCTGCTGGGCACCCTACAGTTCACAAGACAGGCTTCCTTCTGGCACAAAACAGTTACTTGTCCCAAAGAGTCTATGACATTGCAAGTGAGAGTTTTTGGTCAGATCGATGGTTCTCTGCTATACAGCAGTTATTTTTTTAATTGTTTGGGTTCAAGACATGAGTTTGAGTCACTCAGCTATTAAATTTTTTCTCTTTTTTTGTCACTGTTTTCAGCTTAAGCCTATTTTACACATAACACAATTTTTAAAGACCTCTAAAAGAGAGAATTCTGTCATTTTGAGACCAAATCCCTTCATTTTTATGTAGTCTAAATTTACCTATTCAAAATTTCATTCTCTAATAGATGGGCCTACACCTGTGTGCATCTTGTGCAGCATTATTATGCCAATATTGCAATTATGTAAACAAAGAAGCCTGGCTCTTAAATTTAGTTTTCAAGTGTGGACCTGAACTCTGAGGACACATTCCCTCAGATATCTCTGGGAAGTCTTTTTCTCCCAGAATTGTGCTGACAGGATTGTATTGCTGGAACTGCCTCCCTGGAACTGTATCCTCGTCAGGCTCCACCCATGATTTTATTCTAAATGGTTTCTCCAGCTTCATTGGGAAAGTACTAGTCTGGCTCTACCTCGATCATAACAGATCATCCTGCCCTTTCATCCCTAGTTCTAGAATATCTCATTCACTCAAGGTCAGTTGCCCTTCCCAATCTTCACTGTGTACAATGAAGACGGGGGTGGGGGTGGGGGATGGGGGGCTTAACATCTTTCAGCTCTTTGATATGTTAATTCTCAAGCACACACGGTTTATTCATTATCTTTTTGGGTGGAGTACCAAATTGAGGCTCCCAGAAAACAAGATCAGGAGCCCATGTCACAAGACACAAGAGCACATAGTTTTGCTGTATTAACTAAGTCATTAGCCCAGACTGTGTGGATTTTATAAAATTTATCCCTATAATCCAGGAAGCATTAATTAGTCTCAGCAGGTTATATAAATTAAAGAGAAGGATATTAAGTTGGGAGGGGGTTGTGGATCTGTGCAGAAGTTGGGGGGGGGGTGATATGAAATTGCCAAAGAATAAAAAATCCTATTTGTTACGAATCAGTCCTTCCATAATCTCATCTCTGTGTCCTTGAATATTCCATTTGCTTTTCTTTTCCTAGTTTCTCATTATATTTCAACTTTCTCAAAGGACAACAAATACAATTAAGGTGTTTATGCAGTGAAGATTTCTAGTTGATTACAGTATCTTTATCATGAGGATAGTTGGGCTTTTTTGTGTTTTAACACCAAAAACTATTGAGCCTTTCAGAAATGTAGAAAATATCTCATAGTCTTTCAGTTATAATGATTTTCTTTTTCTCCTTTGCTTTTCCTTTGTGAAACTGCTACATTTTTTATGTTTTAAAATAT